GTCTCCGTGGACCGACTTAAACCTGTTCTTTCTGATCGTCCTCTGGTTTCGCAGTTGCCTCCCCGACGTGGAAGACCTCCGTTGGCTCCAACCTCTCTAGCACCTCTCCAGAGAGCCCAGAGAATGAAGAAGAGAGTTAGATTCTCACCTCAACAACCTTCTCCTCTCCCAGTCCGACGGAACCCTCGAAGAGAAGTCCGAGATAAAATATTTATGCCATCTTAAACTTTTTACATGTTTCAAACTATAAATTGAAATATAAATTGGCCTAACCATTAGGCTGCTTAAATATAGGGGTTATAAAATAAAGTTTTTCTCTTGGCGCATATTATTTGTGCATTTCCCTGTTGCATATATTTGTTTTGTAAACTATATTTTCAAACGATCCTATAAAAAATGGTATTTGCTAATTTGTCAATAAATATTCACCTATCAAAATAAAGCTCTTCTCTCATATATGTATATAAATATTATAAACATAAACATATATGTTAGCTATAGCTTGCCACACGGGTGGTTCAATAAAATTTGCTGACATTTTTCAGAGGAACCTAATGGGTTCCCTTGGTGGTCCTTCGATATTTAAAAAAAATCTATTTTCAAAATTCGAATTATTTTTTTAATTCAAATTTTCAGCTTGTAAAAATAATATAAACCTGGGCAACACCGGGTTCCCAAGCTCTTGTACATTATTGAAGCAACGATAAAAATAATATAAACCTGGGCGGCAACACCGGGTTTCCAAGCTCGTGTACATTATTGAAGCAACGGTAAAAATAATATAAACCTGGGCAACACCGGGTTCCCAAGCTCGTGTACATTATTGAAGCAACGATAAAAATAATATAAACCTGGGCAACACCGTGTTCCCAAGCTCGTGTACATTATTGAAGCAACGATAAAAATAATATAAACCTGGGCAACACCGGGTTCCCAAGCTCGTGTACATTATTGAAGCAACGATAAAAATAATATAAACCTGGGCGGCAACACCGGGTTTCCAAGCTCGTGTACATTATTGAAGCAACGATAAAAATTTCTATTTCAATGTATTTTTTATTCTATTTAACGATAGTAAAATGTTATATCATAGAAAAAATTTAAAAGATTTATTATCCTCGATTAATAATTTTAAGTTAAAATGATGATGCTTTTAGATGGTGGTATGTATACCTATAATGTTAACCATATGATGTATAGAAAAAATGTTATCAATTTATCAAATCAACCTGACCTGATGGTTGCCCACCTATAGACCCCAACCCTTCTCCCTCTTTACTATATTTAATAGTATTTTCCATACTCGGAGTATATATCTATTATCATGCATATATGCACAAAGAGATATGTGGGAATTCTAAACCTTTTAAAGATTGTTTCTGTCCAAATTAAAATTAAACGGATTGTTTATAACTTTTCAAAACTTATAACTTGTCAAAATAGTCGCATTTTGCATATAATTATTTAAAGAATATTGTTAAAATTAAAAAAAATATGTAAAAAAATGTTGTTGTAAGCCAAACAGTTTTACCAGTAACTAGAGCATCAACTTAAGACTGATCTGTGTACACTGTACAGTGCACAAATGCTGTGTTAAATGTTCATTGAACCATTTAAAGTCATAACTTGAGCCTAACTGTCGTCTTCATATTCTCATTTACTGTATACATATACATACAATTTAGCCTTTCTGTTCTGTCTTGTACAAAAGATAATTTTACATACTCCTAGTTTATCCTTGTTTTACATACTCCTAGTTTATCCTTGTATACTGATGATTAATGGTTTATCACAATAAACCAGCTCTGGGTTCAATAATCTTCTAGATTAGAAATAAAAAAAACCAAACAGGTGCAATTTTGGGAGGTTAATATTGGAAGGAGGGGGGCCAGGGGGTGGGGAATGAAAGAGGCAGGGGGTGGAGGATTGAAGAGGTGGGGCGGGGCGTTTGGGAAAAAAGTGTAGGTGGCCAAATTGATGGTCAAAATAAAATCATTAAATCATATTTCTTTTAACGACAGATTCAAGACTATAGATTTGCTTGCCCTATTTTCTTTCAGTTTGCATTTAAATATTGCTCTCAACATTTTCAGACTGAAGTCTATATAAAATCATGGCGAACGATCTCTTTATTTTTTGTGAAAAATCATAAAATTCAATTTTGATTATTAAATTTTCCGCGAAGCTGTTCAAACCATGCCTTCGAGGTTTAATTAAAAGGGTCTTCTTAGCAAATTTTAAATTCTCATCAATTTTCTGATATTTGATATTTAACACCCAGAAGTTTGCACTGGGGAAATATTGGCAAACCTATTAAAAATGTGCAAATATTATCCGCAAAATTTTTGGACTTGACCCCAGTTAATTTATCCCTTGGGTGTTCTGGATTCATAAACCGAATAGTTCCTGTTTTATGATTCATTTTTCACAACTTTTATTAAATATTCTTATAGCCCCTCCCATTTTTCTTTATTCCCCCCCCCCCTCCGTCATCTCGTTTTTATTAATTTTATCGTCATCTGCGAATTTTATTCTAAAAGTGTAATGTTCCCCGATGAAAAACTATTAATGTGTGTAATTGGTGTAAAATGGTCGGATTTGTCAGATTAATGTTCAAAATCCCAAAATTTGGAATTTGGTCGAAAGCTGGAGACTAGAAATCAATTTTTTTAGAATAATTTCTCATAGTTTATGTTATATCACGCCCCTAATCTATCTATCATCAGTCCTGATCTTTCCGCAGTAATTTTTCATGGTTTCTCTTTTATTCTTCAAATTTACCCTTTTTCCTTTACTCACTTTTGTACAATATTCTTTTCCCTATATTCCCCCCCCTCCCACCTTCAACTTATATTGTAGGTTTATTCTAATCAACATACAGGGTGTCCCACATCATATTATCAATATTGTAGGTTTATTCTAATCAACATATATGTTCACAATTTAAATAGAAGATGGGCGCGAAGCGCCCTAAAAGCCTAGTTATGAATAATCTTCTCAATTGTACTGCAACCTTTATTCCGATATTGTATAATATACAAATATAGACTGATTTAATGCAGAGATACATAATCATGGATAAATATAATTTGTGTTTGTACACAGGAACTGTACAATAAGTTTAATGTACTGCAGTCTACCAATGTTTATACATATTGTCTATTGATCTCAAATGACATTAGAAAGCCTCTAATGACCTCTAATGACCTCTAATGACCTCTAGTGACCTCTGGAGCCTCTGTAGATTTTGGTATATCTGGCCCTTCCGCTATAGATAAAAAATAAGCTGTTTTCTTTAATATATGACTGTAAGTGTAATTTTAAGCGCAGATGCTCGATTCACAACGGCACCCTTGAAACCTTTATCTGATTAATAATGTGGAAGATATAGTCGTGTTTTTCTAGGTTTAAAATAAATACAGTGAATCCCATATATATGAATACATAGCAAGAGTTTTTTATAAACTCTTAAACTCTTTTTTCCGCGGCATTTGATCTTAAATATGTAATATACGACATTATAAAAATCTCTTGCTATGTATTCATATATCTGGGATTAACTGTATCAGTTTTCAAAATTCTAAATAATAATATTTTATTCATACTTGACCCCATCATTGAGAATCGGGCGTTGCCATTTTCTAAGCTTTCAAATATCAATTTAATTTCGAATTTTAAACAGAATTTAATATATAAGATTTCTTTTAGCAGAACAAATGTTTTAATTCTAACACATGCTATGTTTGCAAAAGAATCGAAGATAGCAAAGACGACTTTACAAAGAAAAGAATAAAAAGAGTAAAAAGAGTAAAAGAAATAATCAAACATAAAGGATGTCAAAAATCAGCTCGAATTAAAAAGATGCTTAAAAATGCCCGTTTTTCATAGAACCTAGTTCTTTCACACTCCATAAAGCTTTTTACTATTTTTACTATTACAAATAAATCTATAATTTTTATTTCTGAAAGTTGTTCAAAGTTCATCGTCGAAAAATACTAACAATCCACCACCAATTTATATTTAATATAAAGTAAAAAATAAATATGTAACTTTTCTTATCCTTTCCTTTCCTTTTCCTTTTATTTCTATTTTTATACTTTTTTAGAATTAGGGGGAAATATTCCCACAACCTCTACTTTTAGAGGTTTCTAAATATTTTCTCCTGAAACAGTTTATTTTGTATGTTTTTGTTATATTTCATAAAAAATAATTTTTTACTTTACTTACTTTTACTTGAAGGGTCACTTAAAATTACGCGTACATTTAAGACACATTTGTTGTACTTTTTTAGTCTGTTTCTATAACTTATTATTTCTATCCCTGGATTTGGGCGGACGAGCAATCAGTCCCAGAGATGGAAGATTCATAATACGAGGAAGAGATCTATAGAAAACGCCTGGAACAAATTAACAAATGAAAAATGTCGTCTTCGATCCTCCATCTTTTTCAGATGCACGTCAGAGCTCGTGCAGCTGAATTTGAATCATAAAAGAATAAATATAAAAGATGTTTTCTTTGTTTAAAAAAAGTATCAGAAATTTTGAAATTTGGGATATTAGATGTATTTTCAAAAAAATAAACAATCCCTTTAACCTGTAGTTTCCTCCCCGTCATAATCATCTTCATCTTCTTTAATCAAACCAGCGTATCCTCTGAAATCAAGGTTGTATAATAAGGTTGCTTACTGTTACTCTCTATGCGCTCCAATGTACGGGAAATGTTGTGTCCTTGGTATAGATGGATAAAATTAGTATATGACGTCACTCTCACATCTATAATCAGTGACGTCTTATGAGGATTTTGTCTTTCTATGCTTAGGACTAGGAGACGACATTTCCTTTACATTTGAGCGCATCGAGAGTAAGCAACCTTTGCCCTTCATAGAGTTCATGATTAACTTCACTTTAAGTTTAAATTAACTTTAAGTTCAATTTAACTTCAAGTTTAACTTAATTTTAGTTCAATTTAAATTTATTTCCTACTTAACTTTATGTTCAACTAAACTTTAAGTTCAACGAACTTTTAGTTCAACTTAATTTTAAGTTCAACTTAATTTTAAGTTCAACTTAATTTTAAGTTCAACTTAATTTTAAGTTCAACTTTACTTTGAGTTCAACTTACTTTAAGTTCAACTTAATTTTTAGTTCAACTTAAATTTATGTTCTACTTAAATTTATGTTCAACTTATCTTTAAGTTTAACTTAAATTTATGGTTGGGTTGAGGAGTAGAATGGGTTGAGGAGAAGGATGGGTTGAGGAGAAGGATGGGTTGAGGAGAAGGATGGGTTGAGAAGAAGGATGGGATGAGGAGAATGATGGGCTGAGGAGAAGAATGGGTTGAGGAGAAGGATGGGTTGAGAAGAAGGATGGGTTGAGGAGAAGGATGGGTTGAGGAGAAGGATGGGTTGAGGAGAATGATGGGTTGAGGAGAAGGATGGGTTGAGGAGAAGAAGGATGGGTTGAGGAGAAGGATTTGAGGAGAAGAAGGATGGGTTGAAGAGAAGGATGGGTTGAGGAGAAGGATATTTTGAGGAGAAGGATGGGTTGAGGAGAAGGATGGGTTGAGGAGAAGAAGGATTGGTTGAAGAGAAGGATGGGTTGAGGAGAAGGATATTTTGAAGAGAAGGATGGGTTGAGGAGAAGAAAGAGTTCAAAAGAAGAATGGATTAAACCTGAGTATCGGAGAAATCATGGTTCTCTGCTCTAGATCTTCTCCTTCTTCATCATCTTGCGGTAACCTGAAAAAAAAAAACAGAAAAATGTATTATTTTTCATTTCCACCAAAAAAATGAGTAAAACCTGTTGAGTGAGGTTGGAGAGTATCGAGCCAAATTCTGAAAAGGAAACTGATTATTTCTATACTAAACACATTATTTCATTAATTAGTAAATTAATTGATTAATTACCTTTATTTCCTTAATTAACCTTTGATTAGAAGAAGTATTCTGTAAGCGGGCTCTTCCCTATACATTGTACATTTATTAATATTATCTATATTGTAGGTTTATTCTAATCCACATACAGGGTGTCCCACATCATATTATCAATATTGTAGGTTTATTCTAATCAACATACAGGGTGTCCCACATCATATTATCTATATTGTAGGTTTATTCTAATCAACATAGTTTGCTAATTTTCTGCGATTCTGTGATTCAATCTTTACAAAATTTTATATTTCGATAGAAATAATTTCTTCACACATTTTCGCTTTTCTGAATTTTTGTTTTTAAGAGAAAAAATTAAAAATTTTCAAAAAATATTGAAAAAACACCATACAGGAGAGTTGCACAAAAAAGGTACAATTTTGCTCCAAGCGCCGCTAATCACACTTTTTTATTGACTGACCCTGTATTTTTTTCAGCGATGTCATAGACCTTTTCTATATTATTTTTCTATTTTCTATGTTATATGAAATGGCCTAAGTTTGAAATATCTAAGGTTTACACCAGCAGGTTGCAAAGATATAGGGATCAGCAAATTCAAGTATTCGAAATTAAACGAGATAATTGTTGACAAAACTCTATTTTAATTAATGTAGGACAATTCTTCAAATACTGCAGTTCGATTCATATTTTGTTCAAGTCAAATTTTGTTTTCATCAATTGTGTGAAATGTGTTTCAAAAGTTTTATTTCTGCATTTGACTTATTTATTAACATTTTCCTTCTTAAATTAAGAAAGTTATAAAATATGTGTTTGGGATTTGTCGACCTTGTTTCAAAATTTGTCTCTAGACAAGACAAGAATAAAAATTAAAATTTGAAGCCGGTGTCCCTGTGTATGTTTTTGTTGAAATCTTGTGGGTTGACAATAAAAGGTTCTGTGGAAACACCTTTCGGTAAAAACTTTAGATTTTAAGATACGAAGTTTAATTTGGACAGATTGTGTAGAGCCCCAGCCCCTACCGACCCTCCCCTCCCCACTCTAAACCCTTCCAGCCAACCAACTTCATGGTTTTTTCCTTGTTTGCTAACCAAATCTTGACTGACCAATTGACTGACTTTCTTACTGACCTACTAATTCATTATCTATTTGACTAATTTGGCTGACTATTTCCCTGACTTACTAACTGATTGCCTGACTTACTGACTGGTTGAATGATTAAAGAATTGACTGAGTTATTGAAGTGCTAAATAACTTACTTTTTAGCTGATTGACTGACTTACTGTCTAACTGATTAACCCACTATTTTACTTATCAGCTTACTTACTGACTTACTGACTCCCCAGTTTACAGAAAGGATGATTTACTTATTTACTGATTAACCAACTTATGGACTTATCCCCTAAAGTTTTTTCTACTGGCTGATTAATTGATTATCTGCATTAATAAGTAATCTATTGATTTACTGATTAATTGATTATATTATTCAATGATTGACTGAGTAACTGACTGAGTGACTAACTGTCTGACTAAATAACTAGCTAATTGACGTTGACTTAATAACTAACCTGAGAATGAGCAAGGAGAGATGCAAGGATGAACAGAACGACTCCAGTATTCATTTTTACTCCGTGTATCCTGTATCCTGTATCCTGAATAGTATTGAGAATACACGGTATCTGTGCTCTTATATATATATCACCAGGAGAGAGTAAATCTCCAGAGTTGGATGTTACTCTTATATGATCTAAAATTAAAGGAACTGTTCGCAAAATTTAAAGTACCGCAATGTTGGCAATGTCCGATTTACAACGGTACCCTTGTTTTTAAAGGTTTAAACTCTGTTAATTCCTTAATGCTTTCCTGCCGTAGAAATGCGCAATGTTTTGAATTGGGCATTGCCATCCCTTTAAGCTAAACCTTTAGTCCAATGAGCATGAAACAGTGTAAACAGACCATTAGTGACTTAATAAGTGTCTAGTAATAATTACAATTTGCTTGCAACAAACATCAAATTATACACTGAAGTATTATACTATAATGTCGTCTTGCTATTCCATTTTCTTCTATTCATCACAGTAAATTTTATAATTTTATAATTTATAATTTGATTTCATGGGAGATAGGAGTAACTTAAAAATAAAGTCTTAAAAGATTATATTATGTAAAAAGATTAGCTTTTGAAATCTTCTTTAAACGTTAATTTACTTTGCTCTAATCCGCACTCAAACTTTTTTTCCTCACTTGTCCTGGCTTTAACCCATTATTTAAACATTGTAAAGAGAAGATTTCAACTTTCAACAGATTTTTTCCTTCAAAAATTCAAAAAGATTTAGGCGGCCCAAGCCTGTGCTTTAATTTACACATTTGAGACACCTAAATTTTGACTCCATAAAAAAATGCGCAACGCAAAGCTTTTATAAAAAAGACGCGACGCGCACTAAATTCTTAATCTATATAATATACTGAGTGTAAAAAGTAGATAGGCAGAAAGCTAACCATCATCTCAAATCATTACATCCAATTATGATGTGGCCGGGGTTCAATTGTCAAAACTATCATTTATCATTCACACAATACAAACCTTAAATATACAATCCAACCCCATAATCCAGTTCCATTCTATTCTATTCTATTCTATCCTTTTTACAGATTCGATTCAGTCCTTCCTTAATCTACTTCTTTCTGAAGTTTCCTTAATTGAAACGAACTTTATAAAAGATTTAAACCATCATCAAGATTCAAGGTTATAATGCAAGGAAAGTTAATTGTGGTCGCGTATAATCTGCGTACATATTGAAACCAGTTCTTTCTGGACGGAATTTGAAAACAAGAATAGATGCATCAGTGTTCGTTTAGTATCCGAGGAGATTAAAAGCATTAAAATTTGATAATTTTGGTAATTCACATAATAGTTTCCTATGACCAGAATATTTCAATGATTTTTTATGCGGAAGGTGGATCCCATTTCAGGCTGTGACATCCGTCTTGTGTTTACATTGACAGTACACTGCAGTACAAAAGATGCTACACCTCTGAAAAAATTTTCCTTGCATTTTAACCTTGACTAAAATTGATCTATAAATTCTTTGTGTACAAAGACGCTTGTCAGAGAATCTTATCTTCAGGAGAAGGGAGACAAGGGGATCTTCAGGAGAAGGGAGACAAGGGGATCTTCAGGAGAAGGGAGACAAGGGGATCTTCAGGAGAAGGGAGACAAGGGGATCGAAAAAAAACAGAATCTTTATTGTTTAGTTATCTTACTATATTCAGCTTACTCTCGATACGCTCCAATGTACAGAAAATGTCGTCTCCTTGGCATAGATAGATAAAATCCGCATATGACGTCACTGATCTATGCTAAGGAGACGACATTTTCCGTACATTGGATCCCATCGAGACGAAGCAACCTTATTATACAACCTTGATAGAAATACACCCATTTTTGTACCTGTTTTTTATACAAGAACATTTTTTGCAGGAGAAATTCCTAATTCCATGGACTACGATTAATAACCTTATCCCACAAAAGAATAAAGTGGCAATTTTGCAATTTTGACATTTTTTGACAAAAAAACAGGAAAGTTCATGCAACATGGATGTAACTGTATATGAAAACATGCAAACTGCAGTGAAACCCAGAAAACTCCGAAATAAGATGTTTAGACGCAAGTTATGACTTTAAATAGTTCAATGAACATGAGATACCACAATTGTGCAGTGTAAATAGACCCATTTAATAAGTGGGATAATAATTTACTGTGTTAAAGCTATTTGCGTTGTAACCGCAACTAATGCATTTCAGCATTGCTTTAATGTCGTCTTCCTATTCTACAGTTTTCTGGTTATCACAGTATGACCAGAAAAAAATGGATTGGAATATAATACAATTAGGGATTAGAAAATTAAGGACCAGAAAGAAAACACAGAGAAAAAAATTAAAAAATTGGGAAAGAGAAAAAGGGAGAAGGGATTAGGAAAAGAGACTGAAGGGAAATGTAAAAGAAATAAAAAATAAAAGAAAAAACAGATGCGCACACTTTAGAAAAAAGTCCAAAATGTATTATCTAGCACACAAAGGATTTTCCATTAATACATGATGGTTTATAAAGAATAGATAGAAACGATACTAAACTAGATGCTATTTGTCAAGTGTCGTTTACTGGATGCATGGGTTCATATAGATAGATAGATGGGGGATAGATATATGGTAGATAGATAGATAGATTAATGAGATGGTCATAATAAGTTGATAAATAGTTAAAATGATGAAATGGGAGCCTGTGGAGAGAGATAATGGACGAAAGGGGGACTAGGGCAGGGGTCGTTTAGGCTAAAAGGGATGAGGTTGGAGAGAGGGGGGGGAGGCTAAAAGGGATGAGGTTGGAGAGAGGGGAGGAGGCTGAAAGGGATGAGGTTGGAGAGAGGGGGGGGAGGCTAAAAAGAGATGATTTCAAAAAAGGGAGAGGGAGTAAAAATTTAGTCTTTTTGCAAAAATTAAGGCCTTTATTTTTTATGTTGCATTCAAATTTGAATAAAGTAAGTGGATAACATAAATTAGCTTATAAAATCAATTGAGCTAAAAAAGCTAATACTTAATGCAAAATTAACTTTAATGCAATCAAAATTAGAAAAAGAGTCGACACAAACAGGATTACCAACAAAAAAATAAACTTTAATGACAATTTGATAATTTTTAAATAAAACTATTGAAACAACCGATTCTGCTTTTAATTGTCTTTTAATTACGTTATACAGTGATATCCAGAAAACTGTGGAATAGGAAGACGACATTAGTGCAATACTGAAGGGCGTTTACTAGCATGTTATTAAATCTCTAATTAAGTGAAATGGGTCTCCTGACACTGAACAATTGCTGTGTCTCATGTTTATTGGACTATTTAAAGTCATATCTTGAGTCTAAAAGTTGTCTTACTATTCCAGAGTTTTCTGGTTATCACTGTATGTGATTTGTAAAAAAAAACAGGTTTACAGCGTGAAGGACCTATTCATGTAAATAAAAGGAGTAGATAAATTATGTACAGTCGTCTCTGAAGTCCCATCCTTTGTGGGTAACCCTGGAACACCTAGATCATAAAAAAGCCTTTTTTATTTTGATGGCATGGACTATGGAGTTAAATCAATATTTATAATGAATGAGTGAATTCTATGAATGAAAGCAGAATCCCGAGTTTTCTAAAAATAAATAAGAAAATTAAGTCCTTCGAGAATTCCCCCCTAATAATGTTCTGGTTTATTTATACTAATTAACAGATTAATTGATATAATTCTCTATCTCGAATTCGAGTTTCCAATATTCGTGTTTTTATAAAGAAAATATTAATTACAATCACACATTGTTACAAAATCCTGTATGGCCCCTTTACTGACTGAAAAAATGGTAAAGCAATAAGCCCCCCCCTTCTTCTCTTACCCCCCCTCCTCCTTCCCCATTTATTAACGTTTAACTATCAAAGACTAACGTTTTTCACGTTTTTCTTTTTTGTTCGACTAAAGTTTAGAGCACTAGAAATTCAGGGCGCTTCGCGCCCTTCTTTCTAGGCTTTTAGGGCGCTTCGCGCCCATCTTCTATTTAAACTTTTAATTGTGGCTTTATCTGTGAGCATCTTCTCTTTGTACAGTATAAAACGAAAACAAAAAAAGTTTGCGGATTTCATAAAATTTTTTTGTAAGGGGGAAAAAAGGAGGGTTGGTAAAAAGGAAAAATTAAAGGTCACTCAACTGCCTTGTATTTAATTTATCATAATTTAGCTTAATACTGCAAAGACGACCTGAAACTCCTATAGTTTAACGATTCAAAGGTTAAAGTAAGTTTTCTGTTTTGAATATAGTCTTTCTATATCTTATTTGACAAAGAAATAAAAAAGTTTATAGTTGAAAACTATCTTGAATTTGAGTAAACAGAAAATATAAATTCAGTGCAGTCGTCTCTGACGTCTAATTCTTTGTGGGTAGGTAACCATGTATTAAAACAAATATAATGAGACGGCGGAACCGAGTTGAAATAATTTTTTGCGTGCATTACAATATTCTTAAAAATGTTGAAGGAAGATCTTATTCTAATTAAAAAAAGAAAATTTCAAAATAGAGGATAGTATATGACAATGCAATGGTCCGATTTTTTTTGGTGGGGGGGGGGGAAGGGTTGGTCAATGTTAAAAATATGTCGGTATTTATTTTAAAAATATGTATATTTATGTAGCTTTCAAGTGAGTTTCACAACAGTTTGGTGTGCAAAAATTAAAATTCTAAATTCTTGCATAAATGTTTATATAATGCAAAAGAAATCTTTTTGCAGAAATGTAAAATATTCGTCTAAATACATAATACATAGAAGGATAATGAACAGATTCAATAGTTTAGGAGTGGGCATTGTTTTTTTTTTTTGGGGGGGGGGGGTTCAAAAATTCATTTTTTTTTTCATAAATAGTTGGTGACTTTTAAAAAGGCTCCGTAAAGTTTTAAGGTGTTCATCAAAACTCGAAAAATGGCAAATATATGTTTCCTTTGCTTTCATTGAACAAACTGCTACACTATACAAAACGGTTTATTTAAATGATTTTAACAATCGTTCATAGTTCTTTTACCTTACGGATTTGTTTATTCTATACTTTTCATTCAACTGCATATGCCGACAAAAAGTACTTAAGAAAAAAA